AAGAGAGGAACTTATCCACTTTGGTCTTCCCAATAGCACAATCTAAGTGGCATCTTTGTATAACAGAAACTCCAAATCACTATCTTGGATTTATTTTTTCTCTCGGGAATGTTCAAATTGCGAGCAGAGGAAGATCCTTCAGTCTCTGCTGAGAGGGTAAAGTTCACAGGCCAGCAGGCTGGAATGTGAGTCCTGGAAGGGAGGACTGGAAATAGGCACATTTGGCATTTAGATTCCATAAGCCCACAATTTCTCTTTTTGGTGTGTACTCAAACGTGTCTTGAGTCTTCCTCCTCTCCCTCTAGCGCAGGCTTGTCCAACCCGTGGCCTCTGGGCCGCATGTGGCCCAGGACAGCTTTGAATGTGGCCCAACACAAATTCATAAACTTTCTTAAAACATTATGAGATTTCTTTTTAAGTTCATAAGCTATCATTAGTGTCAGTGTATTTTATGTGTGAACCGAGACAATTCTTCTTCCAGTGTGGCCCAGAGAAGCCAAAAGATTGGACACTCTTCCTCTAGAAAGTAAACCAAACTTTCTTGGTTCATGGGACTCTAAGTTTCTCAATACTTTTTAAATGGTGCCCCTAAGCCAAAAGACATAATTAATAGTTATGTTCGTTACACAGTTATTTCCAAAGAACTTAATAAGTATTTGTGCCTAAACAATTTAATATTTAAAACTACATATAAATTGAAAGAAAAATACAATGATTTTATTCTTAAATAGCCACTATTTCTTACTAGTGGCTGTGTGCATCTGCTGGGCACTGTGCCTCCTCTCTTGGAATCAGATTCGATGAGCCAGCCTCATTTCATGTTTCACATGGATTTTCATGAGGTACTTACTTTTTATCACACACTCATCAAAAACTCAGTTTCACAAAGAGATTATGTCATAGAAAAGAATGGAGGGTGATCTAATGTTGAAATTCTGAACTAGTTCAAGCCAGTCATCGTGTCATATCTGTCAAATGTCAAGTTTGAATGTGTTTGCATAAATAAATTTCAAATATATTACAGCATCCCTGTCAGCGTGGTGTGGCACCCCAGGGCAACCTGTCACACTCTTGGTGAACTGTAAGTTTCGTATGGCCTACTTTTGTTCAACCCAGCATCCTAAGCTAGAACATGCATTAAGTTTTTACTGCATACAATCTACTGGGATCTCAAGAAACATCCCTATCTTTGCCCTCCTACAACAGCACCTTAGTACATTTAACTAAGTGTAACTTACTTTATACTGTGAATTGCAGAATCAAGCCTAGACTCTACTGCACAAGATCTAGCATGGGTCACACTGGTCAGCAGAACTTAAAATTGAAAGCAGGAGGCAATATATTTTTATATGTATAATTCCACAACCAGTAAGACGCGTTTTTGTGTTTTTAATTTTGCACGCTATTAGACAGTGCTATAGAAGTAACTCAACACAGTTTGTGGCTGTTTCCAGACAGCTGAGTGAGTAAGAGACTGAGTATTAACAGCTGTCAAATGAGTCTTCTGTGCCCCCCACCCCCAGACTAGTCTTTGAAGGATTCTATCAGTACAAAGTCAGAATTTCAAAGAAGGTCAGAGAAGGTACTATGACAAACGGATGTTGGTCTTAAGTAAGCTAACTAGCTATTAATTCACAAAACAGTCTGAAAAGATTTGTGATGCAAGCTGACTTCTGTCTAGACAGAGAGGGGAGTGTAAAACACATCAGACAGATACGACGCAGCAGTGACAAGAAAAACCTGTTTCAGTTGCACAGATGCATTTGGAGACAACCTGCTATTTCCTTCTTTATCTAAATATCTAATTCCTAATGGGGCTATATCTAGGTACTAGGGAATTTCAATTTTATTTCTGGAGCTTTAAAACATCTTGCCCATGAATAAGGAAGAGAGTAAAGAGAAGAGAAAAAAAGAAACAAAAAGAATGAGGGAGTGAGATGGAAAAAGAGGAAGAGAGGGAGGGAATGAAGGAGGTGACGGGAGAGAAAGAGACAGAGAGGGGAGAGTGAGCAAGAGTGTCTCTGTCAGAGGAAAGGAAGAGGGTAGGAAGAGAGAGTAACAAAAACAGAATGCTTAAACGTTTTCCTGAACTTCAAAGGTTATTTATGTGTTAGCATTTGGAAAATATTACTGACCTAGTCCTATAAAATGTATCTCTTGCCTCAGATGTATTGTAGCCATGTCTGTTTTTCTTCCTTCCACTTAACAATGGCTAAGAAAACAGTTTTTAGGGAAGCCAGTTCCTACACACTTCCATACAGTTGAATAGCTCAGAAGTCCATTAGATATAAGCCAATCAGGTCATTTAAAGAAGGTAAACAGTCATATTTATTTTTTGTTTTTTCCTCTGACATAGCAACTTCAAGGTCAATGTAAGGAAAACACTTGGCAACTAGTAAAAGAATCATACCTAGTTTTGACAGGCATGACAAAACATTGTTTAAGCACAAATATGCTGTAACATTTGCTTGTTCTGAAGTTCTTACTCATAACCACTCATGTAATTAGTCACTTAAGTAGTCATTCATGTGTTTAAGGGTTTTTGTTTAAAAAATATGATCATGGATTTTATTTAATGCTGCATGCCAACTGCTAATTTCCTGAAGCAGAGCATTTTAACGCTGGAAAAGGGAAAGAAGAAAGTCTCGTAGTGTCATGGTAAAAACAATTGTGGAGAAATCATCGGTCAGGAAAACTCACTGTGTTAGTTTTTAATAGCTCCTGACTATATACTTGTTTCTGGTGTATTGACAGATTTGCTTGAAATATTTCTCTGCCAGGAGAAATTTTTCAGAAAATGCTATTGTTGTAGTTGGAATGAAGGAGTCTGTTTTCTTAAACGCTTTCAGATCTAAGTATGTAAATAAGAAAATTCAGTGAACACACAGAGGAAAAATTTTTCTGCATTGCTAGGACAAGGGATTTAAAAGGAAAGCCTTCCATATCTTGCTCTTTTCTGCATGATTTTGCTACGTTAAAGCAAATGGCACTGAAGAACGTTCTAGAGGTCAGGTGATTCCATGAAGCTGTTTAGGACTAATTTTATTAAATAATTCACGATCAAAACTATATTCTAGAAGCAAAGCAGCAAACCGTAACTGAAACAGAAGTAGTATGTGTAGGGTAAGTGAGGAGGACGCAGGGCACGGGGTAGATGTGAAACAGAAGGAGTGTGTGTAGGGTAAGTGATGAGGATGCAGGGCGCGGGGTAGATCTGAAACAGAAGGAGTGTGTGTAGGGTAAGTGATGAGGATGCAGGGCTCAGTGGAGATGTTTCCTTCCTCCCTCCTCATCCAAATTTATTCTTCCTTAGCCAGTATATTCTGAGTGTTTTCGATTTTCAAATATACACATACTGAAAACTAAGCTGCTCAGTTTCTAACCAATGTTTTGACTTTGCAGATGACAGTTTGTGATTTTCCAACCTACATTTGATAAGTCATCATCACCTATGTGCATGATGACAACGTATAACAACACAATGAAAAGAGAGTTGCAGGAGTTCACTCTGAATCCAAAACGCAATGTCAAAGGCTGCCTTAAGTCATGCTAGCAGTAACATTTTTACAATTTTTGGCTCAAAATTTTAGTCTTATTTATACACAAAGCATTAAAAGACATAAATTGCTTTATAGGTTTGTTTCATATAATAAGCTATTTCTTGTAGATAAAAGATATTTGGTTCCTACTTTTATATCTACCTATCTATCTAAAGTTGTTTAAAACAGCAAACGCACAAGATGTGCCCTAACTCCCTACAGGATTCCCATATTAGCTCATGCAGCAGATTTAATCTCAGAAAATCCATGTATCAGAAAAGTAGTATTATGCAATTTTATTCTAAGACATTTCACAGACAAAATATGCAGTTGTATATTTCCACAGTCTGGAAAGTGGCTACACTGTTTGATGTGATGACTGACACATTAAGTGGGGTGACTTGCCCTGCTTGTAATTCATGACAGGAGGGCAGATCAATTCCAGTTGTTCCCTAAGGATGCTACTCAGCCTCCCTCAAGCTTTGGATCCTAACAGGGTCAAACTCTGCTTTTAAAGATCCAGTACACAGACGTGAGAGGTTCAGGGACTGACTGCAGTAATCTGACCTGCAGTGGCCCACAGAGAACTTTCCAGTTCCCCCAAGAAGAGTCAGAGCAAGGTCATGGCTCCTAAGACACATGTGGCAAGATCCGCTCGACACTGAAGCAGAGGAACAAACAGGAGAAACAGGAAAACGACTTGTTTTTCTACCCTTTGTTCAGAAATAAGTGAAACTGTGACTCCGCTAATGGGAAAAATACAAAAGTAAATAATCTTGCGGAGGACATACGATGTAGTACCTAGACAAAAATTTGTTTCCTTTACAAACACTGTTTCAGTCCACGAGGAACCATAAACATGCAATATATCTGAGGCAGGGAACAGCTGGATCACATAGCACTGTGATCTGGTCAAACGACCTGATAATTAGGAGTGATCTGGGGGCAAGATGACTTTCTTTATGCTTGCAGAATAGTAAAAGTTTATGGTTCAGAGCACATAAATGAGAAATGCCTGGGGGTCCATTTTGCTTACCTCTTTGAGCTGCTCTCATTTGAGACACATTTCTAAGCTGGGGTTGTTAGTGGGTTCTGATCAGTACAAACATGCAGTAGATTGTCCTTCTCTACTGGAATTTTAGGAGGATGTTTTTTCATCATCAGCTTAGTTTGCTTTCTGAGCCTAAAAGACTGTATTTTAAAAAGCCTGAAGTCACTGAGCTTGACCTTCTTGTCTGAATGGAACTTAATGTTTTGCTAATAAAGACACTGATGTAAAATGCAGTGTACAGACTCCATGATAAAGAAGATACTGTCTTTAAGGGGGTTTCACATTTCCAGGGAACCACAAAAACATTGTTTTGCTTACGGCTTTAAGATAGAAACAAAGAACTATTGAGACCCAAAAGATACATTATCCGCTCTCTCTCCCACCAAAAAAACCCCTAAAAATATTCTTACCAGGTTCAGCTGTAGATCTAGGTTCTGTTAGCCGCATGAAAAAAATAAATTAGAACAAAGTATTAGAATGGGATTCCATTAATTAAAAAAACCTACTTCTTCCTTTCCATTACCTTATCTAGGACATGACTGAAGAAATGTTACAATCAAACTCCATCATACAAAAGATATAAAGTGATAGATCAGTTTATATTTCTATAAAACATAGAAACTCAAATTCCTGTATCAACTTACACTAGGATATTTTTCCAACTGCAGTTCATAGATGGGCTCTAGGAGCCTTGTGAACCTCCTAAAATTATTGATGCAAATTTGAGTCCAAATGTATACATGCATTTTTTTTTTTTTTTTTTTTTTTTGAGACGGAGTCTCGCGCTGTGTCACCCAGGCTGGAGTGCAGTGGCGCGATCTCGGCTCACTGCAAGCTCCACCTCCCAGGTTCACGCCATTCTCCTGCCTCAGCCTCCGAGTAGCTGGGACTACAGGCGCCCGCCACCACGCCCGGCTAGTTTTTTGTATTTTTAGTAGAGACGGGGTTTCACCATGTTAGCCAGGATGGTCTGGATCTCCTGACCTCGTGATCCACCCGCCTCGGCCTCCCAAAGTGCTGGGATTACAGGCTTGAGCCACCGCGCCCGGCCATACATGCATTTTTTAAGAAGAAAGAATATGTCACTTTCATTAGCGTTTCAAGGGGGTCACAGTTTCCATTACTGGATTTTAACACACTGTAGATTATCTAATCTTGCCACTCTTTGAAAATAGAGATCAATTCATCTCAATGACTTAGCCCTTCTTGGTCTTCTTGAAGCTGGAGAGAATCAAATGGTCAGACTTCGGGACATGGGCACTTCTCCTTACTTTTCTGTAGAATTCGGAAATCAGGAGAGTCTTGGATTTCACTCCCTTGCCGAAACCACTGGACCTGCAGAGGGGGTGCCCCTCGGACCCGGCACTCCAGAACCACCACCTGGCCTTCCGCCACAGCTGTGTTCTGAAGTTCCTGAAATTCAAGGAAAATGTACCCCATCAGACTTTGGTGCATTTTTAAGCAATTTCACAACACAGAAGAAAAATTCCAAATCCTAGACAAAACAGATACAAACACAAAATGCAAAACTTGCATCATAAAATAATGAGTACTGACTCAGGTAAGGACAAACACCTTTGAACCCACTGATTATCAGCTTTTCACCCTCTCCAAGTCATAAAATGAGTAAAGTTTACCAAAGTCCTGCACAGCTTTCTGGCCTGTCTGCGAATTTGCACTGACTGCTCTGCATTTATGGAATTTGATGGTAACCACTGTTAACTTTCTTTATCTACATTTAAGAGGAAGCGGGTGGAATGTGAATTTCTTGAAACAATCACACTCTAAATAAAAGTAGATTCTTATGAAAACCAGACAAGAAGAGAAAAAAGACATGCATTTGTTTTCACATGCCTCAGCCTTTTCAGGTACCACCTCTGCCCGACTAGTTTCCGATGTTGAGTTTATTAAGCTAAGGGGTTTCTGTATTTTCTCATTTTGAGATTCTGAGTAAAGTAATGAAACATGCTGCACTTCTTCCTTATTAACTTTCATTTCCTCCTTCTTGGCTCCTGCCTTTGTTGTCCCTCACCGCACTCCAACTCCAGACCAATAAATCTTTACAATCCAACAGATTAGAAATTAATTTGGCTTTACAGATACAAAGAGGTAAAGCTTTTATACTTGTTCTTAAATATCAGGACATTAATATTTCCCTCACATATATCTTCTCTCTACCCTTCTTCTCCAGAATTAACTAGCAATAAGGGCCCTTTAAACTTTCTTACTATTTAAACTTCTGACTATAGAATATTGGATCTAGGCCAGGCGTGGTGGCTCACACCTGTAATTCTAGCTCTTTGGGAGGCCGAGGCGGGTGGATCACCTAAGATCAGGAGTTCGAGACCAGCCTGACCAACATGGTAAAACCATGTCTCTACTAAAAATACAAAAATCAGCTGGGCGTGGTGGCAGGCACCTGTAATCCCAGCTACTGGGGGAGGCTGAGACAGGAGAATCACTTGAACTCAGGAGGCAGAGGTTGCAGTGAGCCAAGATCACACCACTGCACTTCAGCCTGGGTGACAGAGCAAGACTCCATCTCAAAAAAAGAATATTGGATCAAATGTGGGGTATAGGACTCTCAAAATAACTCAAACATAATTTACCCATATATAGACTAAAAGCAAACAAATTCACATTAGGAAGTGTGAATTTTTTTGTTTGTTTGTTTGTATGCATGTGTGCTAAAATTATCTGATGGGACAACAAATGATGTTCTGGAAAAACCAATTCTGTCACCAATGTCCTGCAGTAAGTGTGCTAAAACCCTGAGGAAATTCTAAAAGCCTATGACGTTGGCAGAAGAACTATAAAAGTCTAATGTGAAGTTTGAGAAGACATTTGATAAACATTTTGGTAGTTAACTAGAATGTCTTTAAGTGAAAAGGTTTAGATGATCAACTATTTCTGACTTCATTCTTTCTTCTTTCTTATATGTAAATGGAGAAAATCTCCGGTTTTAAATAGTATTTTTCTTTCTTTGTGACCGGGTCCATAGAATAGCTAATTTATTAGATCAAAACAGGATAAATGTCACTTATGGGATCCAGCTTCTATGGGTTAACCTATTAAATGTCTCTAGGCTTGTCCGGGAAGCTGTTCAGGATAGACTACAAATGGCACTGAAATATTTTTCATGCTTCAGCTTTGAGGCACCAAAAGAGACTTTGATTTATTCCTAAGATTCTACATTTCTTTTTCAGTGTCAGAAAGTCAGAGATGTAGGAAATGGGTAGATGTCAAGCAACTTAAGCAGTCAAAGCTCCACAGTTATTCCAGGATTGCCATTTGGATCCTCCTGGAGCTAACATTTTTATCTTGGCAAAAGCCATGGCTAAACATAGTAAGCCATTAGGAGAACCTTTGGGAACATAACAAAGAGTCCCAAAGGAGACTGAATGCCAACCTTTACAGGATGCACATGGCAACCTGGATCATCTACTTTGTGTAGTATCTTGGAGCCCTGGGGGTTTCAGGATCCATATAAGGACCCCTCTTGCCATACCATCAAGTCCGCCTGACACTGTGCTTCCTTGGAGGGGTCTATTTGGGGAGAAATGTCACATGTATGTCCATACTGCCCACAGTCCTGTGGTCCACAACCCACCAATCTGCCAGGTGGCCTGCAGGCAGGAGCACTGGCTCTGCCTGCGACCAGCTGTGAGACCTAGGACCTACGAATCTTTTCCAGAGTAGCATGAGAAAACAGATGGAGGCAACCCTTGGACTGTGAAAGCCAGCGCACCTGCCATTGATTGTCATCATCATGCCTAAGAGAAAGCCCAATGAAGGTGCTGTGAGTGACAAAGTAAAGGCTAGTTTGATTTACAGAGATCAGCAGGATTATTTTCTAAACCTACCCCTCCAAAACCAGAGACCAGGCCTAAGAAGGACCCTGCAAATCAGAGACAGAAGCTGCCTAAAGTGAGAAAGGGAAAAGCAGATGCATCAAGGAAGGGAACAGCCCTGCAGAAGAGAGATGTTCCATGGTCCAGACACAGAAAGTGGAAGGCTGGAGAAGTGGCTCTGAGCTTCCCGTGGCTCTGAGCTTCCGTGGCTCTGAGCTTCCGTGGCTCTGAGCTTCCGTGGCTCTGAGCTTCCCATGGCTCTGAGCTTCCAGTGAATTGACAGTTTGAGAGTTCTTAAAAATCAACCTATATGAAAAACAGAGTTTTGGTTTACTTCTCTTTAAAGTTGTGCTGTTAGCACAAAGAATGCTTCATGGTTTTCTTTTGGGGAAAGGGGAAAGACCACTAATAGAATGACTATGTTGCAGGAGCTGGACTGCAAGGGAGGAAACAGGATTTTGTACTTAGTATTTGAGAGTTCCTCTTGGTGCCCAGGAGGAATTCCATAACATCTACACATGCCAGACCCATGCGGGAAAGCCCAGTAGTGAAAGAAAGTAAAACTTCGCATCCTTTCTTCCTTCCCTTGTGCCACTAGCACGGACTTTATTTATTTAAACCAAGAGGCGTGTTGGGCCCTGGCACCCCCAAATCAACTGTATCTTGGTTACCAATACATCGGGCAACACACCCTTTTCTGGTGATGACCTTGGGAAGCTGCTTCTGCAAAACTCTTAAACTACATCCTAAACGTGGAGTGTCCACCCCTCTGTAAACATGTTCTGTTCTTAACATCAAAGGAAGACTTCATTGGTTATCAGATTGACATAGTTTTAGGCAGGGTTTTACATGACTTCTTTTCTAGCAGCCTAGCTAGGAGGGTAGTTTCCAAGTCGTTACCACTTGTTAACATTTGTTGCCTGTGCCCAACTGGAAATACTGTAACTGCTTATGAAAAGATATTTTATAAAGCTTGGATTCAACCAACTGAAGGGAAAAAAAAATCATTCCTTAAATGGAGATTACAAAAATGCTTTTCTTTTCTGCCTCACAAAAGTTTTATAGACTTTTTCACCTCTGCTGAAGAATCAATTCTTTCTCCAGTGATTTGCAAATTTCTGTAAGTATTCAGTATCTCTGTGGCCTCTACTCTGATTTCACATCAATTTCTCTAGCCTCATACCAGGACCATACTGCCCTAATTACTATCCCTTTAAAACGTCTTGCTATCTCATAGGACAAATCCCACTCCTTCCTAACACTACCTTATTTTCCTTCCTCAGGTGTATCCTAGCTATTCTTAGCCATTGTTTTTCCTCCATACAACTTTTCGAATTAGGTTGCTAAATTCTACGTCAAACAAACAATTAAAAACCAGGAACCTGTGCTTGCTTTGGCAGCACATATATACTAAAATTGGGATGATACAGAGAAGCTGAGCATGGCCTCTGCACAAGGATGACACGCAAATTCGTGAAGCGTTCCATATTTTTAAATGTGGCTCATATACACCATGGGATACTATGCAGACATAAAAAAGAATGAGTTCATGTCCTTTGCAGGGACATGGATGAAGCCGGAAACCATCATTCTTAGCAAACTAACACAGGAACAGTAAACCAAACACCGCATGTTCTTACTTATAAGTGGGAGTTGAACAATGAGAACACATGGACACAGGGAGGGGAACATCACACACCTGGGGCTTGTCGGGGGGTGGGGGACAAGGGGAGGGAGAGCATTAGGACAAACACCTAATGCATGCAGGGCTTAAAACCTAGATGACGGGTTGATAGGCGCAGCAAACCACCATGGCACATGTATACCTATGTAACAGACCAGCATGTTCTGCACGTGTATCCCAGAATTTAAAGTAAAAACAAAACAAAACAAAACAAAAATACCCAGGAAGCTGTTGGAATTGTAGCCAGATTTACATTAAATACAGATTAATCAGGGAGTCATGACTTTATAGTCTGTCGGTCTGCAAGCATGGCACATGTCTCCATTTATTTGGGCCTTTTAAAATGTCTTTTAATAAAGTTTTATAATTTTCTCTAAAAAAAAGGAAGGAAAAAGAAAGAGAAGAAATGCTATATGGAACCATTTCTGACTTGAGAGGCTGACCAATGAAACGGATGCCATTCAGCCTGGCAATGCAAATTCTGGACTTGACAAATGGAAAATCAGTCAGTTTTTCTGAATTTCTATAAAACTTGCTAGATTTCCCAAGCAATTTCCTACACAGCAGTGTTTTTGTTTTTGTTTTAAATCTTTTTTCTACCTGTCTTGGCTTTCCCACTAGATTTTAGGCTCTATCAGGTTCCTGCTCACATCTCTCAGAACCCATCACAAGATTATAGTCACATGGCAGTTGTTCAACAAATATCTATTTAATCCCAAAGGTAACCATGGTAATCAGCCTACTAATCTGTTCTTTTTAATTTTTAAAGATTGCTACATGAAGCCACATGTAAATGAAATTGAAGGACCAAAGCAAACACAGAGAATGAGACTTCCAGATGTCAGACCTTTGTAAAAACAGGAGGAAAGTAGGCAGTGGTGGCTCCATCAGGTCGGCAGAGATATGAAGTTGGACTGTGAACCTGCAAAAGCAGAGACACATGGATCAAATTCTAAATATATAAATCGCCTAAAAGATGGGCTGAAGAAACCTTTCATTATGGGGATCGCCCCACTTGAATGAAACGAGTGAATGAAAGTATCGCCATACATCATTTTACTTGTCTACTCTTACAGTACAGACGTTGTTCCACTTCCTCATCTCACATCTGTTACTCTTCTTTGTTCAAAAGGATATTCAAGGTAAAAGTTCCCTGGGTCCTTGGGGATCCATGAGTTTTTAAATGCTATTACCAAATGGATTTCTGTGTGTGGGACTTCCACACGGGTCTTTTTAAAACTTCTTGTAGACATTGTATTTTATTTTTAAATACAGTTTGGATTCAATGCATAAAAGCCATTGGCTATCGGCAGTGGAGGGTAAATTATCAAACATCTACCTATCCTTATTTAACTTGTACTCTTTTTTGATACAGGGATTATGGGAAAGGAGAGAAAAGAAATTTTTTTTATTGATGTGCAAAAAACAAAGGTGCTAAAATACCTATTGAATGACATTCATCTCTGGAGAAATATTATAAGGATTTCAGAGTAGTGAATGGAAAATATTTCTTTGTGAACTATCACTTATTTTTCAATAATCTGGATTTATTCATGTATGGAAGCTGTTGTTAGCTTCTTAACCCAAGATGATGGTGATCCGGTATCGTGTGTCTAAATATGCCACGGGACATCATGAAGAATTTTGGCAGAGCTGTAGAGATGCTAGGATGGTAATGGAGCTTATTCATTACCCCTGGAAGACTTTACTGGCCTGTGATTCAAGAGGTTTCACTTTTCACTGTCTTTTCATGTCCCAAGAATATGTGAACACTCTTGTAGTATTAATTATAGTATTATATTTTAGTATAATTATATTATACTAAATTAATATAAATAAATATAATATTATAGTATAATTAATTATAGTATTAATATTTCCTCTATGCCAGGGACTGTTCCAAGTGTCATATGAAGATAAACTCACTCGATCTTCAGGACAAACTTGTGAGATACACGGTGTTATCATCTTCATTTTACAGATGAAAACACTAGGCTTGAAGGGTTACATTATTTGCTTAAGGTTCCTCTGTTAGGAAGTGGTAGAACTGGGATTCAAACTCAGGCAGTCTGGTTCCAGAGCACTACTTGACGTCACATTGCCTGCAGTAAGAAAGTGAAGGAGTTTCTCTGGGCGCTTCATTCTCCCAACTATAAACATGGGGTAAACTACCTTCCATTCCATGTCTTCACAGAATTTAATCCATTTAAAATACACTCTTTACATTACTATGGTATTTACATATCTAGATGTGTATGTATCTATTTCCTAGGCTTCTGTCTTACATGTAAATATATTCTATCACATTCACCCCATTTGGGAATGGGGTGGGTGACATTTTTTTCCTGTCATGAAATGCCTAGCACAGTACTAAGCACTCAATAAATATTTATCAATATTTAAACATCAAATACCAATAAATGTCCATTGATTTAATCAAATATTTCTATAAATTCCACTCTGGTTAAGGGGTTTAAAGGAAATATGTACTATATATGCTATCTCTGAGTAACTGATACTGGTTGATTCAAGTTTATGGACCCAAATGTCTTCTCTCTACTGTTTGTATTTTCCATGTATCGATAGAACATATTGGCCTCTATAGTGGCTGAAACACCCCTGAGCATTCAATAGGTAAAAAAGGCTGAAGGAGGACATGGTGATACTTGTAAGACATACTCATTACTTAGGAATGAGTTTACATTTCTAGACTGTGGGAGAAAACCTTTCTGTGAGTGCTGTCTTTGAACATACTCATTAAATCATGATTTAGAGACATCCAGATGTAATTTTTTTAACTTTTTTTTTTAAAGTTCATATTGTTTGTGTTTGCAAAGTAAACTCATTACAATTACTTTCCAGTAGTTTATATTAGTGTTCTTTGAGGGCTATAGCAGTCTTACAATAAAATAAAAGCAAGATCAAAAAGCATGGTGAAGTCAAGGAATTTGAGTTGTTTTTTCTCATTTGTTTAGCTTTTAGGAGTGGGAAAGCTTTTTGTTGGTATGCAGACTTGTCTTTTAATTTGTAATGAGCTAATAAATTTGGCTAAATGAAAGAGCATATACATGTGAGGGAATAATCAAATAGTTACAGCTAAAACAGATACCATTTTATCAGGTTATTAGCTGTTAGAGAAAGAAGTTCCCAATGGAAATGCAAATGTTGACTAATTGGTGGTGTGGCTTTGGTTAAAGGTATTTTTAGTGAACTGAAAGGAGAAACCCTACCTACAATTTTCTTTGCTCCGAATTTTGTGTCTACTCAGAAAATATTTCAAGGGAGTATACTAGTTAGAATCAAAGTCATATTCTTAAAATCCACAAGTTTGCTGATGAGTTCGACCCCTTATGGGCTCTGGCTCAAGGCATACTTACCTGTTGCACAGGGACAGATAATGGTTGAATCACAGCTGTGGTCACCCCTGTCTTTGGAGATGATGTTCCTATTGTCAAGGAAACAGAAGTTGTTTTCTTTTGAGCTCTGGAAAATAGGAAGGTGAGTGTTTAGTCAGATTTTTTGTTTTGTTTTGTTTTGCTTTTTTAGCAGAAATAATTCCTTGAAACATTTGAACAGAAAAGCTAGGTTTCTTTTTGCATACTCAACCCACTTCAACTGTAATTGCTTCCACAATGGGAATGCATAACCAACAGCTAGAATAGCTGCAGTCAGTATATGCATGTACCTTATAGAATGTACCTTATAGACACTTAGCAAAATCAATACATGAGTAAAAGAAAAGTAGCTTGATGTAACTGAGACACTGCTGAAGATGCTAACATATTAAACTTGAAAATCCTAAGAGAAAATACTTGGAAAAAAAATCCAATCTTTATTAATAAGCAGAGATTTGAAATGTTTAGGGTTAGGGTCCTATATTTAACTCAAAGTTTTGGTTGTCCATTTTAAGTCTAGCAGCTGTTCTTTGTTCTGGTTTCTAATTTTGTTGCGGGTATCTTGGAATTTTTGTGTTCTCTTAGTGCATATAAGTTAGTGAGGTATTCACAGAAGATTAAGAAGAGTTGGTTTCTAGGCCTAGCTTTGCCAAGTAGCTGGCTGTGAAATCTGAAGCAAGCCATGTAACTTCACTAAACTTGAGCTCCTTATCAAAAATCAGGGGTGGTCAAATAATCTTATAAGGTCCTTTTAGCATCACTGATTATTTGATGCTGAATGGATATAATTTTACATACTAGCAGATAAAAGAAATTTATTAGAACAGACTCAATATTTATGGAGTTTTCCATAATACAAATTTCTGGTAGATTTTATTTTTGCCAAATAATTAAGATATTAACATTTTAATAATTGGTATGTCTTTGTAGGAATAACTAAGTTTTGTGAATTTCAGATACAAGATCTAAATAAAAATAGATTGTATCCAAAGGAAAACCTACTTCTGGCCTAATTAGATATTTTCCAACTTGCATAAATAAACTGGTCCTCACATTTTAGTAATGATTTAACTGATTTTCTCTTAACGTGACTTCTCTTTCCATACATTTAGACTAAGTTAGATGGCTGTCTTTGAAACTAACATTGCATACAGTAAAATTCTGGCATATCAATGACGAAATGCAGACTTCAAAGTTCAAATTCACAAGTTAAAAATTGTGTTGGGGCTGGACATGGTGGCTTGTGCCTATAATCCCTCCCAACAGTTCGGGAGACTGAGGCAGGAGGATCGCTTGAGTCCAAGAGTTCCAGATGAGCCTGGACAACATAGTGAGACCCCATCTCTACCAAAAAATAAAAAAAGATTAGTCAGGTATGGTGGTGTATGCCTATAATCCCAGTTACTTGGGAGGCTAAAGTGGGAGGACCACTTGAGCCTGGGAGGTCAAGGCTTCAGTGAGCCATGTCGCACCACTGTACTTCAACCTGGGTGACAGAGTGAGACCCTGTCTCAAAAAAAAAAAAAAAAAAAAATTGTGTCCCAACCTCAGTATTTGGTCTCTGATTAACATCAGTTGATTTTTTTCTTCAAAGCACAGCAAGCATGGTTTAATACCCCAACCATTCTGTTGCCATTCTTTGTTTCCAGATAATAGATGGAATTGTAGGCACTTACTGTGGCATAGCTCCAGCTTTTGATTTGAAAGCTAAACTTTCACTGTCGGAATCTGTTGAACTGGCACCTGGGAAAGTATTAAAGATAATGGTAAAGTTAAGATATCAGTGTTATCTATAATAATTGCAAAGAATTATATTTCCCTTAAATAAAACAACATACAAAGTCTTTTTGACCGAAACACACAATAAAATAGAGTGATTCAGGCTCAGACCATTTTTTATTTGTACTGTTTCTTCAGAAACTCATTTTAAAGAAGTACTACTATAAATAGCTTTCTTCAAAGCAATATACTTTTAATGGCAGATTTATTATTAGTTTTATTTTTATCACTGTGGTCATCACAACCGTACTTTTAAATGGCTATAAACTATGAAATAAAGATGTGTGTGTGTCTGTGTGAAGAACACCCATGCTTTTAAACTGTAACCTTCTCCAGAGATTGCAGGGTAAGGACTGATAATGTCTTTATTACTCATTAATCAGAAGATGCTTTCTGGCTCCTGGGTAAAACTGAATATGACAGCGGTTCTGTTCTTGAATAAGAGGGCCTTTGATTTTGGATCATGCCTTCCCAAATTCATTTGCATTATTACTGTTCTTAAATAAAGGGTCAACTTACTAGATTTTTAGTCAAAAGGTAAACTGCAGTCAGATTTTGATGTTTACATATTTCATGTCAAGAGATTTTAGGCAATAGACTTAAAAAATTGCAATGGTTCGAAGTATATTCTTAATGTTTCCAAGATACATATAACTTGGGTCATTTATATTCTTTTATATAATAATACATGCTTATGGGAAAATAACCATAGAGCACAGAATCGTGCAGCCTAATAGTAAAGATCAGTGGGTACCTTCCTAAATGCCATTCCCAAATACCACATTAAGTCTGATGTGTATTATTCCTGATAAGTCTTTTTTTTTTTTTGAGACAGAATCTTGCTCTGTCACCCAGGCTGGAGTGCAGTGGCACAATCTTGGCTCACTGCAACCTCTGCCTCCTGGGTTCAAGCAATTCTCCTGCCTTCTGAGTGGCTGGGATTACAGGTATGTGCCACCATGCCCTGCTAATTTTCGTACTTTTTTTTTTAGTAGGGATGGGGTTTCACCATGTTGGCCAGCCTGGTCTCGAACTCCTGACCTCAAGTGATCCGCCCACCTTGGCCTCCCAAAGTGCTACAATTACAGGTGTGAGCTACCGCACGTGGCCCAGATAAGTTTAATACAGCATATCAACATATTTACATTTATGTACATATTTATACAAATGGATTCACATGACATGTTCACTTGGCATTTGGCCACTTTTGCCTATCAGTGGATTTAGAATACATACGTTCACTGTGTTCTCTTGTACAGCTGCCTGGTATTCCTTCCAGTGACTCTACTGTGATATGTTTGCCAGTCTTTTATTGACATTGAAAACAGCCATGTTTAGGTAACTCTGCTGGAATGTTTGCTGTCCCTGCCTACTTCTTTCTGTGTCTACCATCCAGTGTAGGCTTTCTTCGCCTGGGGCCTGGACTACCATAAACCATTCTTGTCTTCCCATCTCCTTCTTCTCAAATTCATCGTTGCCCTCCCTGTGTCAGATAGATTTTCCTAGAGCACGCCGTCCCTGTTAAAAATGAGATGACTAGAGTCTCTACTCAGTAACATAAAAAAACCCAAATTTGTCATTTAATGACCCTCATGATTTCCAACTTCATTTTCTACCTCTATTTGCCAGAACTTCTTGGACTTTCAAGTTATGTAACCCTAATTCAGAGAGCTGAGTCCACCTGCACACCTATGGTGTGCACTCCATAAGGGGGATACGCAGTGAAGACACACACACACACACACACCACCACACACCACACCCCCCCACACACATCACATCCATACTCATCCTGTCACACACACACACAC